TCTTCGTAGTGAGCCTGCAGCACTATTAACAAGATTATCAATTTCGGAGGGACTAAAGTTAATATAAGACTCTGTTAAATTCAGACAGACAGGTTATTACTGTGCTGTAAAAAAAAGGCACAAAAAGACACTTACTGCCAGAGATTCCAGTGCTGATTGATTGGAGAAAATTTTAAACCTGAAAGAAGAAAACAGTTTTAGTCTGATTGCAATCAATAACAAGCTAAATAAATAATCATTCATTTGCATTCTCCATCCAGGAGGCTGAGAGGACTGGATCATCAGAGTCAACCGCAGAGGATAGAGAAAGCGTCTTCCACTCATAGTGACAGAAACTGGCTTTAACTGAAACCACCTCAGAACAAAAACCACCACAAACAGACACAAAGCACGGGTTTGAACACACAGACTGGAGGATAGAGGGCCACTCAGGGTTGTGGTTGGGGATGGGGTTATAGTGATAGAAGATAGGAAGGGTAGGTTTATATGTGTGTGTGCACCTGCGGAGGTCAGCATGAACAGCCAGACGTTTGCCCTTCATAGAAACTTTAGCGTTGAACTTTGTTTCCTGCACACAGACAGAAGAATACTTAATAGAAACAATATTTTTTATCTCTCACCTGGAGAGCATCATCTGTTGACCGACAGTAAATCAGAGCTGAGCATGTGATTTATATTGTGTGTTTGTGTGTGTGTGTGTGTGTGTGTGTGTGTGTGTACCATGGTCATGCTGCTAAGCTGGACCGGAGGCTGACCTGGAGGCAGCACCATCACCTTGACGATGGCTGTCATGACAACCGTTGCGCCAGATGTCTTGATGGAAGTTTTTGGGGGAGAGTTGACAGCAAGTTGCAGAGAGAGTGGAGCATCCACCAGAGCTGGGTTCTACTCAGAGCACACAGTATTAATATACAATACTAAAGTACTACAGTGGGTTCTATTCAGAACACACAGGAAGAACATTAATTATGTGTGTCTTTCTGGATCTGCTCACCAGCATCATGATGGTTCCAAAGTAGGTGGTTCTCAACAACATCTCCATGTCTTTGGGCATCTGAAGGAAGAGACACAAACAGAACCAGGTTTCAGCTCTCAGGAGGAATCTTTGTATGGTTCGGTAGTTTCAGGGGTATAGGGGGTCTGTGGTAGTTTTGACCTTCTCGTTGACGATGTGCGTCTGGAAGATTCCAGCTCTGTAGTAAGAGAACAACCCGCTGTCGAAAAAAAATTCGGACAGGGCGAGGTAAACCATCCTGTCGTACTCTCTGATGACTGGGTCGACAGCATAGTTCACCAACGTGTTGTTCTGATCAGAAAGGTCGAAGAACATCCCCTACAGACAGAAGACACACTGTTATTGATCACATTGATCAGGATCATAAAAATACCACCTTGATACTGACCCTGAAGTGCATGTCGAGGCTCCTGGATGTCACCACTGGGTCATCAATCAGAGAATAATCAATCCCGATATATTGATCAACTTCCGTCCTCACAGGGATCGTGTCCAGCATTGAGTTCACATGAACCAGAGCCGCATGATTGAGAGCAGGACAGATCTGGGAGACAGACAGTTGAAACAGACAGACAGTTTAGTTTAATTTAGTTTATTTATTTATTTAAGGGAAATAAGAGCAACAGGACAAAAGTAGCATTAAGGCAGGAAACTGGCTTATAAACCTTCACAATCTAAAGGAGAACCTGTAAGTGGTCAGTTCTCTGATGTGGATTGGTACAGTATTCCATTCATAGTTAAGAGAGGAAACATATATTTACATGTTTGATCAGGTTTTCCCAGCTCAGAAATGTATTTTTATCCAGTATATGACAGTTAAAGTATTTTAGTTGTCAAAGTTTTTCATGGTTAATTTATACATTGTTTATAAAGTGATTCTAGTGGCCTAGTAGTATAACTACTTGCCTGTGACCAGCTTGTAATGGTCACAGCATTCATTTACATTCCTGTTTTTGTATAGAAATGGGCCCAACATGGATCCTTGTGGGACCCCAGTGGAGGAGCTGAGAACAGTGGACTGATGGTGATTGACAGTTTGAGGTCACTCAGAGAGATAAAACTTTGTCCACCTAAAGACATCTGTGAAACTGAAGGCAGATAACTGAGGACAGAGTTATTTATAGTCAAAATCTTAAAGATCTAAAAAACAGCCTTATCCAATAATTAACCTTAATGTATAAATAATATAGATATAAATAATGACCTTACCATATAGATAATATAGATATAAATAATGACCTTAACAAGAAAGAGTCATCTCTGTTAGCTCTAGACAGGCCAGAGAGACAGACAGTTGAGAGACAGACAGACAGACCTGTTGGTTGAGAAGGAAGCGCATGCCTGTTGTCAGAAAGCTCGCCAGGAAGTCGTAAACTCTCCTGAAAAATAATTATTATTTAATTATTGATTTCCAAATCAATTTTATTAACAGTAATCATTACTCCTTATTGATTACATACCCAAGTGTTCCACTGAACTTTGCCTTCATTTTGGCGATTCTTGCATCACAGGTAATGTTATTGATCTTTAGCCGTCCTTCATCATCTCTGATCAAGTTCAGAACCGTATTGATGTTCACACCTTCGGCCGACGCGTTGATGTTTCCTGTGTCATAACTGATAGATATTATCATCATTACTATGATGGGTCAAATTACTTTTTATTTATCTTCTGTAGAATAATTATTAGAGTTTATAATATTAATAATAATACTACTACTAATAATATTCAATTCAATTCAATTCCATTTTTATTGTATAGCACCAAATCTTAACAGAAGTTATCTCAGGA